CCCAACAAAGTCGTCCTCCAGGATAAAAATCGTGACACCGGATTAAAACCGTGACCCAGGATTAAACCCGAGAGAAACATTCGTGCTGGATTAAGCCTCTACACTCCTCCGTGCCTCCACACCAGTGAACGGACAAGATTCTGATTCAAGATTCAACGGTAAAGAACTGTCCATCGACAAGGTATTTATCAACCCGCGATTCGTTTGTAAACTCTCTCTCTCTCAACGACCTAGTATAATTAAGAACGATAATATGCCCGATATCTCTGTATAGTATTTAGTTAAATTTAATTAAAATTGTTATTTGTTAGAAAATATGGAGTCCGAGTAAGTCACTTCCTCGTCTCTCTCCTCACCTCTACTCCGAATCCAAGCGCTCACACGCTACCGCTCGCGAATCTTTAGACGTAACGTCGCGATTTCCGAGTCCCCCAGAGACTCGGTGGTGTCAGATTCAGGTCTCCTGACAGGGCGCCAAAGAGGTGCCGACCCTACGGTCACATGTGTATAAAATGTTTCTCCCTGAGAAATCAATCGTGCCGCACAGTTTATGGCAGACATTATGAATCACTCTGTGCATTAAGAGTAAAAATCTCAAGTTACGTATTAATTTATTAATTTATGTTTCTAATTTACTACATCAATAAACTCAAACCACTAATTATTCTTATAAATAAAAGGATTGTTTTCCTGTATGAAAGTTATGCAGACATCCACCATTTAGTCACTTTTATGCACTTTTATCTTAACTTCATAGTTTATTCTATGATAATATTTGATTAACTATCGGAGTTAGTTCGTATAAATGACTAAATTCAGACAACATCGAAATTTGTAAGCAAAAATATCCATTTTTCTCAACAATCAATAGTGTATTGTTAGCGCTCCGACAATAGTTTTTCTTTTCGATTGTTTCGAAAGGCTTTCGTTTGCTTTCTTAGCTGTTTTGCGATTTTCGAAGAGTGAAATGAGTGGCGAGAGAAAAAGTTTCTTGCGTAGGATCTTCGGAGGAAGACAGATATTTATAAAAATTTACTGTTAATATTTCATAATAATTGAGAGTAATATAATTTAAATTGCTGAAAGTTTTAATTTCAATTACTATAATTTATTTTAAATTTTAGCCCGCAAACAATATTATAACATTTATTCTGTTTAATAAGTTACATAATGTTTACAACCTGTCAGAAAACTAAACAGTACTTATCTGAAAACCATGTTTTAAATTAAATTAATATTTAAGTTTGGCTTGTATAACAACGTTCATACGATCATTAGTCGTATTGACAACAGCCTGATATTCAATTGAGGTAATTCCATTCCAAATTTGATTTTTTACTTTAAACCATCCACGCTTCCTTGAGAACATTTTCTCGATGCTTTTATAATTTTCCACGTCTTATGCTGACATACAACCCCACTTTCTGGGAATTTTACAGTACCCTGTAGACAGTCATAATTGACGGTCTCTTGCTTTCTAATGACTTTTTCTTATTGCTTTCATTGCAGATTTCAAACTATGCCTCACCACTAAAAACAACACTTTTTTCACTGTTGTTGTGTCCAGCATTCGTGCTCTTTTGTCCACTCCAATCGGTTTTTTATTTGTTTTTGTAAGAAGTGGTTTTGCCTTTGTCTAAGAAATGTCATCTGTTACAATTCTTAAGTAAAAAATCATAATATTTTCTTATCTGGTAGAAACTGTAGCCAAATTTGTGCAGATGGATGCTACAAGTTTCTTTTGTAACTTTATTTCATTCATTCACTAATTCATCGATTTTTTAAAATTATTTCATGAAAGTACTTGTTATCAGTCTTTTTTATGATTGTTGGCCTTCCATTCCTAATTTTCTGGATAAATTTTATCAGTTTTCTGATATTTTGAAACAATACCCCATACTGTGGAATTTCCAATTTTTAATTCCTGACCAAGGAATTA